TAAAGAAAATGCAAGCCCAGGCAATGCCTGGTATGCTGTTGTTGTTGTTGTTGTTGTTGTTGTTGTTGTTGGATACACAAGATTAGTACACAGCAAACAAGATCACTATGCTGGTTTTTGTTTTAGGTTACACGTCAAACATTTCCCAAGTGTCAAGGACTATGTGACATATCAGTGAATAAAGCGTGCAGATCCAAGTAGGGTGGCCTTTTGCAGATGACAGATGATAATTTTGTCAGCACCAATTGTTTTTAAGTGCAGACCAAGGTCTTTAGGCACTGCACCCAGTGTGCCAATCACCACTGGGACCACCTTTACTGGCTTGTGCCAGAGTCTTTGCAGTTTGATCTTTAAGTCCTCGTATCGTGTCAGCTTTTTGAGTTGCTTCTTGTCATTTCTGCTTTCACCTGGGATTGCAACATCGATGATCCATACTTTGTTCTTTTTCCGCAATCACGAGATCAGGAATATTGTGTCAGTCTGAATTCAGAAGTCCCAAAGTAGTTTGATTTTCTGTAACTTTTTCAGGCTTGTGATTCCATCAGTTCTTTGTCACAGGCAGATGGTATTTGTGGCGCAAGTTCCAATGGATCATCTGAGCAACTGTGTTATGCCTCTGCTTGTAGTCCATCTGTGTAATCTTACTGCAGCAGCTGAGAATGTGATCCATCATTTCATCTGCTAATCATCATCATCCTCATATTTATTTATACCCTACTTTATTTCTCCTGAAGTCGTTCTAAAGTTGTAAAAGAAGTTGACAGAAAAGAAGAAACGATCAGTGTCAAGACAAAAGGATCCTTGGAGAAGTGAGAGTCATCATCAGTATATTAAATCAGTATATTAAATCCTTGCCCTTCTTCGCTTGTTATAGTGGTTTAATTCTTTTCAAATGAACGGTTTACATTGAATTTTTTTATTTTTATTATCTCAAAATGTTTTAAGCTGTATAAGGTGTGAGCCACTCTGGGTCGCCTAAGGAAGAAGAGCACACAATACACTAAATCAATACAGATCTAGGGACAATCTTCTTGCGAAAGCTGCATCTTTATTCAACTCCCGATCGGGCTGACTGCCCTGAAGTACATGAGGAAGTGAGATAAAGGATGCAAATGATTGGGATTTATCAGAAACCCCTAAGAACAAGGAAACAAACAAACTTCTCATGTGCTCTGGGTTTTAAAAGTTACAGCGAGTCCGGGAAATTCTCAAAAACAGAGCAGGATTAAAATGGGCATACAATATATCTTCACAATGGAATATATATATATATATATATATATATATATATATATATATATATATAGCTGTACCCGCCACGCGTTGCTGTGAACAACCTTCCCTCTCTTTTTCTTCTTTCTTTCTCTCCTTTCTTCCCTCTTTCCTTCTTTCCTTCCTTTCTACTTCCTTCCTTCCTTCCTTCCTTCTCTTCTTCTTTCCAGAAGTCTTCCTCATCGATCTACCTACCTACCTATCTATCTCTATCTAATCTATTCATCTGGAGGATTGCTGGGAATTGCAGTCCAGGAATAAGAAAGTGGAAATATGCAGGGATTGGGATGCTTTCAAAGAAATCCAAGGAGAAGAAAGCTTGCATCTTGGAAGCAGTGCATTTGGATCATCCTCCTCTCCTTAAGGGCCTGGTCTAGGGGATGCTGGGAGCTGTAGTCCAGAAGAGAGTGTGGATATGATATTGGGTGTTTTGTTTGCCAGGGGGAGTAATTTTTACGCATGCACTATAGCATCTTTTGGCTTTTTCAGTCCCTTCTGCTGTGTTTTTCAGTGTTTTTATGGGTGATGGTCACTTGTTGGCCTGATAGATGTATTGTGTCCAAATTTGGTGTCAATTCGTCCAGTGGTTTCTGAGTTATGTTAATCCCACAAACAAACATTACATTACATTTTTATTTATATAGAATAAAAATGTATGCTACTATAGAAATCTATGATACTATAGTGGTGTGTGTGTGTGAATATATATATATATATATATATATATATATATATATATATATATATATATGTATACACACACACACACACACACACACACACTAGCTGTCCCCTGCAACGCATTGCTGTGGCCCAGCCTGGTGATCTGGAAAATAAAGTAATGAGAAAGTGTTGCTTTCTAATATATGCAATGTCTTTCTGCTTGTGGGTAAACAGTATTTCTTGCGGTTTCTTTGTCAGTGTTTATGTAGAGATTGTCTGGTTTGCTTACTCTGGAACAGGCGACATATAATTGTCCTTCTTTAGGGGTCCCTTTCAAATCTATGATACTATATCAGTGTGTGTGTGAATAATATCTATCTATCTATCTATCTATCTATCTATCTATCTACCTATCTATATTTATGGCTCTTTGTCAGGAGGGCTTTGATTACGTATTCTTGCCCTAATGAAGGGAGTTGGACTGGATGGCCTTAAGTATTTTCTGTTGGTCATGGGGGTTCTGTGTGGGAAGATTAACCCAATTCTGTCATTTGTGGGGTTCAGAATGCTCTTTGATTGTAGGTGAGCTGTGAATCCCATTGACTACAATTCCCAAATGTCAAGGTCTATTTCCCCCAAACTCCATCTGTGTTCATATTTGGCCGTGTTGAGTGCTTGTGCCAAGTTTGGTCCAGATCCATCATTATTTGATTCCACAGTGCTCTCTTGATGTAGGTGAACTACAACTTCCAAACTCAAGGTCAGTGCCCACCAAACCCTTCCAGTATTTTCTGTTGGTCATGGAGTTCTTGTGCCAAGTTTGGTTCAATTCCATTGTTGGTGGAGTTCAGAATGCTCTTTGATTGTAGGTGAACTATAAATCTCAGCAACTACAACTCCCAAATGACAAAATCATAATTTTTGAGTGATGGTCACTCCTTGTATTGTGAGATGTTTTATAGTCTAATTTGGTGTGATTTCGTTCATTGGTTCTTTTGTTTTCAAGGTACTCATTATTCACAGAGCATTTATATATAGATATAGATATATATCCTATATACATAAAAATACATACATACACACACACTCCACTTGCCTCATTTCCAACAGACCTCAAAAACTTCTGAGAATGCCAGCCACAGATGCAGGTGAAACATCAGGAAGTTCGCTATTATCCATAATTTCCTATTTCCATAGTAAATTCAGGAATGTATTCCCCATGAATATAGGAGCAATACTGTAAGTTTGGCTTGCATCTATGGTAGGCATCCTCAGAGGTGGATGACGTAACCTCTGAGGATGCCTGCCATAAGTGCAGGTGAAACGTAAGGAGGGAATGCTTCTGGAAGATGGCCATACAGCCCAGAAAACTCACAACAACCCAGTGATTCCAATCATGAAAGACTTCGACAACACATTGTAACACCAATATTAGTGTGTGGAAATGGTTGGATGAGGTCTCTCCTTCCTCCAAAACCAAAAACCTTTCTTAAGGCAAATGAAGCCTTAACACAGAGCACAGTGTTTCCATGCAAAGGCTGCAATTCAACCTTCAGTTTTGGTATTTTTAGGTGGGGCTGGGAAATGCATTTAACGAGGTGAAGAGCGTTGAATGACACGCCGGGCAAATGATCATCTACAAGAGACGACAGGCAAATCTATTTTAACATTGCGTGGAAAAGACTGGGTGCTTGTCTACACCACCAAAATAACTCAGCTGTAATTAAGATGATTCAACCCTGGATTGACCCCGTTAGCGCCGCCACACCTGCCTGTAATACACTGCAATGAAACTGTATTGCTCTCCGTGTTTCAAATATAAACTAAACCATGTTTATTTAGAATCACAGGATGGCAGATTTGGAAAAGAACCCAAGGGCCATCCAAGAAGTGCTTTCACTCATGACATTTACTGATAATTTACTTGCTAATGTAAAAACAAACAGAAGTAAATACCTGTTACCCACCAATCCTCCTGGTGCATGTTAACTGAGGTCTACTGTAGATTGGTGAGAAAATATGTGTAGATAGTTATGTAACTATTGGTAAGAATGTTTATGTATGTGTATGTATTTGTCTACATTTACATACTATCGTGGGGATGCTGGGTATTGTAGTCAACAAAAGTAAATTTCCCCTGAGATTTGACATAATTGGTTGCAACTGAATCAGAGGGGGAGCAAATCTTTGAAGTCATCTACATCAGCTTCATTGTTGGAGTTCACCCTGTGATTGTGTTTAAGGATCAGGGTGCTTTGGATGTGGGGAATGATGACAATGAGGTTCATGTGGGTAACGGCGTTTCCAATGATATTGATGCAGAGAGTGACCAGGAGATCCCTGTTTAAAATGTATTATCTCATGAGAAGGGTGTGGGGAACATGTGTGGTGTGCTCCCTGAATTGCTACCAGAGAATTCCCATAGTTTAGAGCCTGGGAATAGGTCGGCACCTGGGCCAGCTGCAGAAATTAATGAGCAAATAGATAGCTGAATGTTATTAGTCAGAATAGAAAAGCAGACCAGTCTCTTAGGCATTCTGCCAGGCTCAAAGAAAGAATGATAAGGGATTCAAGGCTAAAACAAAACCCATTTCTGGCTGTTTGGGATATAGCATAATGAGGAGATAAAAGTCTCAAGTACAGGATCTGTAGTCAGATGAAGCATCATTTGGAATCAAGTCAAGACCTCGTTCCTGTTCCTTGGAATCCTTGCTTTGGGAAAATTCATGTGTCAAGTGCCTTTGATTTATGTTTTCAGTTCTTGGATTTTATGTTCATGTGCTAAGTGTCTTGTATTCATGTTTTAGTTTTTGGAATTTACTACAGAAGTTTCTGCCTTTGTTTTTCCTGAACTTTGATGAACTAATTCCTGGACTGTTTGTTCCGGCTTATCTTCCTACCTAATTGGATTTACCTCTTCTTTTAAAGTGCTTTTTACTTTTACTGCTTTTTAATTATCTTCAATAATGGTGTTAAAAGTCAGAGGGCTTTCCTGGTCTGGAGTGCAACATTCATGAATTATCGAGCTACATTCTTAAAAATGGTGGATACCATGAGCTACTTACGTTGCTTGAAAACTTCAAGGGCTCTTTTCAAGGTGCTGAAATGCAGAAAAATACAAGTGAAGATGGAGGGAAACATAGAAAACAGAGTTTGCAGCCTGGTAAACAGACTATAATTACTTTTATTTGGTTTTCAGGTCACAGAAAGGCAATAAGGAGGAGACTTCCTTGTAAACTTGCAGAATTGGCCTTCTTTCAACACCTAGTGAAGCAATCTCTGAAACCAACAGCCTCTGGGTTTTTCTTTCTTTCCACTTCCAGTAACCGCCATAGTAATCTTCTTACTAGCCAAACGAAACCAGATTATGGAACTATGTTGTGTCTACACTGTGGAATTAAAGCAGTTTGACCCCACTTTAACTGCCATGGCTCAGTGCTATAGAATCCTGGGAGTTGTCGTTTGTTGAAGCGCCAGCACACTTTGGCAGAGAAGGCAAACCATTTGGTGATATTACAACTCCCATGACTACATAGTATTCAGTCATGCTATGTTAAAGTGGTGTGGAACTGCATTAATTATACAGTGCAAAGCAGGCATGGGCAAATTTGGATCCTCTAGGTGTTTTGGACTTCAATTCCCACAATTCCTAACAGCCTACCGGCTGTTAGGAATTGTGGGAGTTGAAGTCCAAAACACCTGGAGGGCCAAAGTTTGCCCATGCCTGGTCTACACTGATCATTACAATACAGTTCAAACTGCATTATACAGCAGTGCAGATGGAGCCTTTGCTTCTATGAAAACCATCATCGTTTTTTCCACAATCAGACTTCCAAACCTTTTGAACTAAAGTTGAGCTTCAGTGGGGAGTCTGGGAACTGAAATCCAAACTATCTGGAGGCCCTGAGAATGTACAGCAGTGGTTCTCAACTTTCCAAATGCCACAACCTCTTAATACAGTTCCTTATTTTGTGGTGACCCCAACCATAAAATTATTTTCGTTGCTACTTCATAACTCTAATTTGGCTACTGTTATGAATCATCATGCAAATATCTGACATGCAGGATGTATTTTCATTCACTGGACCAAATATTGCACAAATGTCCAATATGCCCAAATTTGTATACTGGTGGGGTGGGAAGGATTGATTTTGTCATTTGGGAGTTGTAGTTGCTGGGATTTATAGTTCACCTCCAATCAAAGAGCATTCTGAACTCCACCAACAATGGAACCAAACTTCCAACACAGAACTCCCATGACCAACGGAAAATACTGGAAGGGTTTGGTAGGCATTGACCTTGAGTTGTGGAGTTGTAGTTCACCAACATCCAGAGAGCACTGTGGACTCAAACAATGATGGATCTGGACCAAACTTGGCATGAATACTCAATACACCCAAATGTGAACACTGGTGGGCTTTGGGGAAAATAGACCTTCACATTTGGGAGTTGTAGTTGCTTGGATTTATAGTTCACCTACAATCAAGGAGCCCCTTGAACCCCACCCATGATAGAATTGGGCCAAATTTCCCACAGAGTACCCCAAGACCAACAGAAAACACTGGAGGGATTTGGAGGAAATTGACAGTGATTTAGGGGAGATGTAGTTCACCTACTTCCAGAGAGTATTGTGTTCCTAAGACCATCAGAAATATGTGTTTTCTGACAGCCTTTGGTGACCAATCTGACACCCCCCTCGTGATCCCCCGAGGAGTCCCGACCTCCAGGTTGAGAAACGCTGATATACAGCATTAGGTGAAGCACAAAATAAAGAAACTGAGACAAATAATTTTAGAAAAGCAAAAGAACCATGTAAATTGTAAAGGAAGCTTGCTGACTCACTGTAACTCTGTCTGCCCGCAAGGCTTCTTCCTGGACAAGTTCATGAGGTCCTTCCCATATCTTTCTTCTATAGAAGCCCTGCAGTTTGAGAAGCAAGAGAAACAAACAGAGGAAATGGGCAGAACAATATGGCAGGGACCAAAAAGGAAAAGCAGAATTGTGGCCACAGGGTGGTCAGCCTTTAGTAAACTGCCTTAAGCCTGGGGAAAAGAATATATATATAAGAACTAAGGGATAAGCCAGGCATGGCCCAACTTTGGCCCTCCGGGTGTTTTGGACTTCAACTCCCACCATTCCTAACAGCCTCAGGCCCTTTCCTTTTCCCCCTCAGCTGCTTAAGCTGAGGAAAGGAAAGGGCCTGAGGCTGTTAGGAATGATGGGAGTTGAAGTCCAAAACACCTGGAGGGCCAAAGTTGGCCCATGCCTGGGATAAACAGATGGGAGATAGATGGATAATAGAGGCTTCTTTTTCATCAGGGACTATATCCTTCCAGTGTTTCCAAACAAAGGCACATACCTTTCCTTCAAGAAGTCTTCAAATTCCTTGCAGTTCTTCCTGCCATCGTTCAGGTGTTGAATGATACTGTCATATCCTGTTGTGCTGATCAGATCGGTAGACTGAGAAAAGAGTTGACAAAACACGTTTATTAGAAAAGAAGGAAGATAGATGCTTCTGAACTGTGGTGTTGGAGAAAAGTTCTGAGAGTGCCTTGGACAGCAAGAAGATCCAACCAGTCCATACTTCAAGAAATAAAGCCTGACTGCTCATTGGAGGGAAGGATATTAGAGGCAAAGATGAAGTACTTTGGCCACATCATGAGAAGAACTGAAAGCTTAGAGAAGAAAAAAGGAAGAGGGGCCGACCAAGGGCTAGATGGATGGATGGCATCCTTGAAGTGACTGGCTTGACCTTGAAGGAGCTGGGGGTGGTGACGGCTGAGAGGGAGCTCTGGCGTGGACTGGTCCATGAAGTCACGAAGAGTCGGAAATGACTGAACGAATGAACAACAAAAGAAAAAATAAGCCATAGTTCCTATTATGAACAGAGCAGAAATGTGCCACTTTATGCTGTGTCACATTTTCTTATTTTAAAATCAGGGATATGGCCTCAAATTAGTCTTAAATAATAAACAAAGCAACCAGATACACAACCTCTGAGGATGCCTGCCATAGATGCAGGTGAAACGTCAGGGGAGAATGCTTCTGGAACATGGCCATACAGCTCGGAAAATACAGCTGCTTACCTTTTTGAGGCTCCACCTGCACTGCCATATAATGCACTATATGGTCAGTGTAGGTAAAGGTAAAGGTTTTCCCCTGACATTAAGTCCAGTCATATTCGACTCTGGGGGTTGGTGCTCTTCTCCATTCCTGAGCCAAAGAGCCGGTATTGTCTATAGACACCTCCAAGGTCATGTGGCCGGCATGACTGCATGGAGCGCCGTTATCTTCCCGTCGGGGCGGTACCTATTGATCTACTCACATATGCATGTTTTCGAACTGCTACCTATTGATCTACTCACATATGCATGTTTTTGAACTGCTAGGTTGGCAGAAGCTGGGGCTGACCGTGGAAGCTCATACCACTCACCAGATTCAAACCTGCGACCTTTTGGTTAACAAGTTTAGCAACTCAGTAGTTTAACCCACTGCACCACCGGGAGCTCCCGGTATAGACTCATATAATGCAGTTTAACTGCACCGAACTGTGCTATATGTGTCTACACTGACTACACAATGCAGTTTCAAACTGCATTATATAATGGCAGCGTAGATGGGGCTGGAACCACAATCTTCAGATTCTCTAACTAGTCTGTTGGAAAAGCTTTATGACTCCCGGAGTTATATTCCTAAGTTCTGTACAGTGCTTCTATAAACCTTGTTTTCCTTTCCGCGAAATGAGAACAAGCACTTGTTGGAAGCCTTGCCAAATGATGAAGTTCTAACTGCGCCAAACTACATTATATGGGCCTACACTGACCATATAATGCAGTTCAAACTGCCTTATATGGCTATGTAGTTCCAACCCTGGTGAAATGAAACAGTCTGAGAAAATCTGGATGTTCAAGCAAGCATTTGAGAATGGCTAGTCCCTAGTTATAAATGCCCAGTCTCTAGGTCGCCAGATACTACTCTGTTCTCTGCACTTCATCCAATTCCCCTGCCCTATGGTTCACTGTCTTGCACTATCCCATGCCCATCCCTTTTACGGCCTGGTCATGCCCATTTTAGTAATTCTAGTCACTGGTTTTTGTTGAACACTGTCTGGTGGAGCTTCAATGCTGCTGTTTTATTCTCTTATGTTTAATTGTGTTTTATCTGGATTGTTGTATTTTACAATGCTCTTATTTTAGTGGTGTTTTTCTTTTAATGGATTGTTTTGCTTTTATGTCTGTTGAACTTTCTTTCCTATATGTAAGCCACCCCGAGTGCCTTCTGGGAGATGGTGGCAGGGTGTAAGGATAAAGTTGTTATTATTATTTGAAACACAACAAGATGAGCCCACAGCAGACAAGATCACTCGGCTGGCTGTCTTATTGGATCACATGTCGGACACTTCCACAAGTGTCTAGGACTGTGTGATGTATCGGCGAATAATGTGTGCAGATCCCAGTAAGGTGGCCTTTGCAGCTGGCAGATGGTAATTTTGTCAGCGCCAATTGTGTTTAAGTGCAGGCCAAGTTTTTAGACACTGCACCCAGTGTGCTGATCACCACTGGGACCACCTTGACTGGTTTGTGCCAGAGTCTTTGTAGTTCAATTTTTAAATCCTCATATCGTGCCAGATTTTCCAGTTGTTTCTCTGCAATCCTGCTGTCACTTGGGATTGCAACATCGACGATTCAGACTACACAGAGAAGCCATTGAAATACACAAGCATGTGGACAATTTCATCAGAAAGGAGGAAACCATGAAAATGAACAAAATCTGGCTACCAGTATTAAAAAAAAACTCTAAAATTACAACAGCACAACAACAGAGAGGAAACAAACAAGGACATCTAATCACCTCTCAACACAAGTTTGCTCTAGGCCCTGTCAGGCCATTAGATGCTAATCAAGGTGGTCAGTTGAAACATTCACACCTAGCTCCAGCCAACAAGAGCCCTTTGTCTCACCCTGGTCATTCCACAGATATATAAACCCTTTTTCCTAGTTCCAACAGACCTCACTACCTCTGGGGATGCTTGCCATAGATGTAGGTGAAAAGTCAGGAGAGAATGCCTCTAGACCATGGCCATATAGCCCAAAAAATCCTACAACAACCCAGATCCATACTTTGTTTTTTAACATGATTGTGAGGTCAGAAGTATTCTGCTCCAAAACTCTGTCTGTCTGAATCCAGAAGTCCCAGAGTAGTTTGATGTGTTCATTTTCTGTAACTTTTTCTGGCTTGTGATCCCACCAGTTCTTTGTCGTAGGCAGATAGTCTTTGTGGCACAAGTTCCAATGAATCATCTGAGCAACAGTGTTATGCCTCTGCTTGTAGTCTATCTGCGCGATCTTCTTGCAGCAGCTGAGGATGGGATCTATCGTTTCATCTGCTTCCTTGCAGAGTCTACACTTAGGATCTGTCATTGACTTTTCAATTCTGGCTTTGATGGCATTGGTTCTAATGGCTAGATAGTGTTCCTATAATGAATATGTTTACATTAGTTGCAGGGGTTTTTTGGCAATATATCTCAGATTTTTTTAAAAAAAATCATGCAGGTGGGTATAAAAAGTTGATGCAGATTCTGGAAACGGGCATCAAATAATCCAGAAAAATGAGAAATGAAAATAGTTCTTTTAGAAAAACTACCTATAACAAATAGCACAGCCTCCAGCAACAATTGCCCTATCTGACATAAAGAACTGAGGCCCACAATAGATATTTTGTATAGCCAAAGGAATGTGAGCCAGTATGGTGTTGCGGTTTTAGTGTTGAGTGATTTCAGCTCCACTAAAACCGTGGGTTCTGAAGCCTAGCGTGTCTCGCTTTCCAGAAGGCCATATTAGACCCAGATGGGCTGGAACACAAAAGCAGAGGTTTATTCTCAATGGTCAGAGAGGATGTCAGTGGAGAAAGCACTCCAAAGTACTGACATAACAAAATTGATTTTTAAAGTTTGACAACCATCCAAAAAACATGCCACTCTGAGTCCCCTTCAGGGAGAGAAGGGTGGGGTATAAATACAGTGAATAACTAAATGCTTCTGTTCCTGTTTGTTTGGAAAATAGCTCGGCTAGGATCCACGTCTTGAGTTGCTTAAGACACCATCTGACGTCTTTGATGGTCAAAGTGGGCCCGGGTGAAAGTGGACCCTGCTTTAAGAAAAAAAACACTGCTCTAAGACATTTTTGACTGTTGCATTTCCAACAATCTCAGCATTCAAGAGGCACAAAGGAAGTCAAAATGAAAGGAAGGGGAACTTCTAAGCTGAATTGTCAATCCAAAGACAAACACTGTTTTTATTCTGATACTTTTTAACTGAAGGTCAATCGTTTCAAAGTAGAGATAAAAGAGGTAGTAGTACAACTGGAACAGAATGGCTACTTAATAGTGGTATTAAATACAGAGAACTTCCCTTTTAATTTGGAAATAGAATACATCCAGAACTGGATGGCAGATCCATAATCATCGCCAGGAAGATACAGATTTATTTGTATTTATCGTGTCAGGGGCAACCAGACAATTGTATTACATTTCTAACAGAACAAAACAAACACAAAGTTTGCAAACTTGGTAGTTGATTAAATGTCCTTTGACCAGTATCTGGCCACTTGGGGTGCCTCTGGAGTTGCCACAAGAAGGTCCTCCATTGTGAATGTGGCAGGGCTCAGGTTGCATTGTAGTAAGGTAGTCTGTGGTCTGCTCTTCTCCACATTCGCATGTCGTGTATTCCACTTTGTAGCCCCATTTCTTGAGGTTGGCTCTGCATCTCGTGGTGCCAGAGCACAGTCTGTTCAGCGCCTTCCAAGTCGCCCAGTTTTCTGTCTGCCCAGGGGGGAGTCTCTCATTTGGTATCAGCCATTGATTGAGGTTCTGGGTTTGAGCCTGCCACTTTTGGACTCTCGCTTCCTGAGGTGTTCCAGCGAGTGTCTCTGTAGATCTTAGAAAACTATTTCGTGATTTAAGTCATTGACATGGTGGCTGATACCTAAACAGGGGATGAGCTGGAGATGTCTCTGCCTTGGTCCTTTCACTATTGGCTGCTACTTCCCGGCGGATGTCAAGTGGTGCAATACCTGCTAAATAGTGTAATTTCTCCAGTGGTGTAGGGTGCAGGCACCCCATGATAATGTGGCATGTCTCATTAAGAGCCACATCCACTGTTTTAGTGTGGTGAGATGTGTTCCACACTGGGGGACATGAGAGAAGCCTCCTCGCAGGATTGCAAGACATTCGTGCATCCTCTGGGCAATGTTTTCGTAGACGGCTGCTTCTCTCACTCCAGAAGCAACCAGAAGATACAGATAACAACAAATAGCTATGATGCCTGGGGGGATTTTGAGAGTTATTGTCCCTAATAGTAATATTACCAAATTCTAGACACAGTGTTTGCACATGGATAGTCCCAGATTCAAACAAGATCTTGGCTGCATCTACACTGGAGAAATAATGAAGTTTGATACCAT